CTGGGATAAACATAGATTAAAGAGATATGTAAAATTATAAGATGATGCTATTCTTCTCACTAATTGTTTTGATTTTGAAAATCATATTTTTCATAAAAATTGCTGCTTATGTTAATATGAAATAGGCTTATTATTTTAAATTAATGTTTAACATTTGTTTTAAATTCAAATACAGTCAATTTGATACATGCTACCTAAACTAAATCTCAGTGAAATCCTCAATAAAAATATTCTTAAGAGTATTAAGAGATCCTGACTCATACAGCAATACTCTCTGCCATAGGTTAAAAAAATAAAAAGGAGAAAGAAATTAATTAAAAAAGAGAGAGAGAAAAGAAAAAAAAGAGATCCTGAAACCAAAAAGTTTGAGAAACAAAACAGTCTGTACTAAAGCCCAGAGACAAGAGAAAGAAAGCACTGTGAGTTCTAGAACTGCACATTGTTCAGAATAGCTGGGGAAATCGGTTTGAAGTAAGACTAGTGCTAGATGGAATGAAAAAGCTGCCATATCACAGGGTTTGTATGCCATGCTCATCTGGGAGGTTGTTAAAATATTTTATCCAGATCCAATTTAGATTTTAGAATCACTCTGGAAGAAATAGGAGAAAGAATTGATGGCAATGAGACCAGATAGAAAACTGCTGAATCATTCAATAAAAACCTATACTTTTCCTTTTTCTTTGGGGGAATGATAGGCTGTTATTTATTATTTTAATTATACATTTTTTTAAAAAGTGACTAAAGTGTTTTAAGCATGATCAGAAAGTTATCTTGTTTAAACTACCAAATTTCTTAAACACGTCTAGCTATGACAAACTTTAAACAAACTACATCCATTCTTAGTATTTTTTTAATCTCTTTTAGATCTTTAAGTTAAACATATCAGGTTAAATATAAGTGTTTTCGTTTTTGCCCTCCAAAACCTCTGCTAAATTATCACTGACGGCATTTAAAAAAAGACTTAAACACTACCACCTAATAGGTGACCCTCAAGAGATACAGAAAAATAATTTTACAAAATCTAACACTCTTTCATGAAAAAAAAACACTAAAAAAACTAGGAATAAAAGGTAACTTCCTCAACTTGATAGAGCATCTACAAAAAGCACACAGTTAACATCATACATACTGGCAAACAACTGAATGCTTTCCCCCTTTAAGAACTCAAGGATGGGGGATGGACTTGCTTGAAGCTCTGACTTGGGTGGGGCAAGGGCAATATACATAACCTAAATATCTGTACCTCGGTAATATGCTGAAATAATAATAATAAAAAAAGAACTCAAGGATGTCCACTTTCACCATTTCTACTTAACATTCTATTCAACTGGAGGTTCTAGTTAGCACAATTAAGTAAGAAAAAGAGGCCCAGCACAGTCCCTCATGCCTGTAATCCTAGCACTCTAGGAGGCCGAGGTGGGCGGATTGCTTGAGGTCAGGAGTTCAAAACCAGCCTGAGCAAGAGTGAGACCCCCATCTCTACTATAAATAGAAAGAAATTAATTGGCCAACTAATATACATAGAAAAAATTGGCTGGGCATGGTGGTGCATGCCTGTAGTCCCAGCTACTCGGGAGGCTGAGACAGTAGGATTGTTTGAGCCCAGGAGTTTGAGGTTGCTGTGAGGTAGGCTGACGCCAGGGCACTCGCTCTAGCCTGGGCAACAAAGCGAGACTTCTGTCTCAAAAAAAAAAAAAGTAAGAAAAAGAAATAAAAAGCATCTGGTTTGGAAAGGAAGATGTAAAATGATCTCTACTTGTAGATGACATGATCTGGTCTATAAAAAATCCCAAGGAATATACAAACAAGAAAACTAATAAACTAGTTCAGTAAGGTTGCAGGATACAAGATCACTGTACAAAATTCATTGTATTTCTATACATGAACAATGATCGATCCAAAATTGAAATTAAGTAAATAATTCTAATTATAATAGCATCGAGAAATGAAATATTTAGGAACAAATTTAACAAAAGTATAAAACTTGTACAATGAGAACTATAAAACACTGTTGAAAGAAATTAAAGAAGGCCTAAAAAGATATCCTATGTTCATAGCTTATTAAACTTAATATTGTTAAGATGGCAATACTTCACAAATTGATCTATAAATTCAATGCAGTCCCTAGCAAAATCCCACTGGCTCTTTTGAGAGAAATTGACAAGCTGATCCTAAAATTCATGTGGAAATGCAAAAGACCCAGAACAGCCAAGATAATCTTGAAAAAGAATGAAGTTATAGGATTCACATTCTAATTTCAAAACTTACTCGAAGCTACAGTAATCAAGATTGTGTGGCATTGGCATAAAGACAGACATATAGACCAATGGAATAGAATTGAGAGTCCATAAAAAAAACTCATATATTTTATGGCCAATTGATTTTTGACATAAGTGCCAAGACCATTCAATAGTAAAAGAATAATCTTTTTTTTTTTTTTTTAATGGTGCTGGGATAACTGGATATCCATATGTAAAAAAGAATGATTTTGGATCTCTTCCTCAAGATATAAAAAAAATTAACTCAAATGGATCAAATACTTAAATGTAAAAACTAATACTATAAAACTCTGAGAAGAAAAAATAGATGTAAACCTTTGTGACCTTGGTTTAGGTAATTGTTACGTAACAATTTGTTAGATATAACAACTAAAGCATAAGTAACTGAAGAAAAAACAAACAAATTGGACTTCATCAAAATTTAAAACTTCTGTGCTCCAAAGGACACTAAGAAAGTAAAAAGGAAACCCACAAAATGTGAGAAAATATTGGCGAATCATATATCTGATAAGCATCTAGTATCCAGAATATGTACAGACTGTTGCAATTCAACAATGAAATGACAACCCAACTAAAAATAGGCAAAGGGGCTGGGGGTGGTGGCTCACATCTGTAATCCTAGCCCTTTGGGAGTCCAAGGAGGAAGGATCGTTTGAGGCCAGGAGTTCCAGATCAGCCTGGACAATAGCAAGACCCTTTCTCTACAAAAAATAAAAACTTAGTGAGCCATGGTGGCACACCCCTATAGTCCCAGCTACTCAGGAGGCTGAGGCAAGAGGATCACTTGAGCCCAAATGTTCAAGACCTGCCTGGACAGCACAGCAAGATGCCATCTCTTAAAAAAGTATTTTTTAGAAAAAAACACTGAATGGGCATGTTAATTATATCTCAATAAAAGACAAAGATTTATAAAAACAGAGTTGAAGTTAAGATGAAGATAGCAGCAGATAAGAAATGTTAAAATTTTGGAAAATGGAAATTAGACAAAAAAGTAATAACTATTGAGGTAGACAGAAAAAAGCTAAAAAGTAAATTGACTATACTGAGGAAAGAAGACAAGAAACATGAACATTCTATTACACAACATCAGAAAGGCTTAGGAACTGTAGGTATCAGGTATGTCTGATTTATACCCATGTCTTTAGACATGGGTATAAATAAAGTTAAAAACAAAGAGTTGGTTAAAAGTCTGTATAAGAAGCAGTTATATTTCTTTCTTTTTTTTTTTTTTAAGACAGAATCTCACTTAGTTGCCCAGGCTAGAGTGAGTGCCATGGTATCAGCCTAGCTCACAGCAACCTCAAACTCCTGGGCTCAAGTGATCCTCCTGCCTCAGCCTCCCGAGTAGCTGGGACTACAGGCATGCGCCACCATGCCCGGCTAATTTTTTCTATATATATTAGTTGGCCAATTAATTTCTTTCTATTTATAGTAGAGATGGGGTCTCGCTCTTGCTCAGGCTGGTTTTGAACTCCTGACCTCGAGCAATCCACCAGCCTCGGCCTCCCAGAGTGCTAGGATTACAGGCGTGAGCCACCGTGTCCGGCCTGAAGCAGTTATATTTCTAAATCTTCTTCCCAACCTTGTATAGTAAAGTTACTACTCCTTCTCTACTCAGGTTTAAGAGTAAAGGCTTACTCTCTATTGAGAGGCTGAAATCAGGAGGATGTTGAACTTGAAACACCAAGAACAGCTGAAGACAGAGGTATTCTACTCAAAACAGGAGAATTACATAAAAGTCTACATATTGATCTGTAAGACCCTTCCCTACTCAGCACTTGAACAGACATCCAAGAAGCTCCAAAAACTTGAGAAAGCCTTTATATGAAAAACATATAAAAAATTACAAGCAGAAAAAAAGGAACTCAGAACAAAAAGAGAAAATGCAGAAGACAAACACACAAAGAAAAACCAATAAAACAAAAAAAGAAACCCCACAATTTATATTCTCAGAAAGATAAGATAAAATATTACATTCATGAATCCAGAAAACAAAAGACAAGTGAATGGAAATTAAAAATACCAACAGTAAATGTGATCGCTAATTTTATGTGTCAACTTGACTGGGCTAAGGGATGCCCAGATAGCTGGTAAAACATTATTTATGGTTGTGTCTGTGAGAGTTTCTGGTGGAACTTAGCATTTGAATCAGTGGACTGAGTAAAAAAGATTCACTCTCACCAATGTGAGAAGGCATCATCCAATCCACTGAGGATCCAAATAGAACAAAAAGGCAGAGGAAGAGCAAATTCTTTCTTCTGCATTTAGACACTGGAGCTTATGGTTCTTAGGCTTTCAGACTCTGGGACTTACACCAGCATATGCATCCCACCTCCCTTCTCAAGCCTCTGGACTTGGACTGAATTATACCACCAGCTTTCCTGATTCTCCAGCTTGTAGACAACAAATGGTGGGACTTCTCAATCTTCATAATCATGTGAGCCAATTCCCATAATAAATCTATATAGCTGACCCTTTAACAACATGGAGGTTAGAATGATGCTGAGCCTCATGTAGTTGAAGATCCACATATAATTTTGGACTCCCCAAAACTTAAGTACTAATAGCCTATTTTTGACTGAAAGCCTTACCCATAACATAAACAGTCAGGTAACACGTTTTTTATGTTATATTTATTATATACTGTATTCTTAGAATAAAGTAAGCTAGAGAAAAGAAGATGTTATTAAGAAAATTATAAGGAAGAGAAAATATATTTACTATTAAGTAAAACTGGATCATCATAATGGTCCTCCTCCTTGTTGTCTTCATATTGAGTAGGCTAAGAAGGAAGAAGAAGAGGAGTGGTTGGTCTTGCTGTCTCAGGGGTGGCAGAGGTGCAAGAAAATCAGGATATAAGTGGACTTGTACAGCTGAAACCCCTGTTGTTCAAGGGTCAACTGTATATCTATATATCAACATATATCCTATTGGTTCTGTTTCTCTGGAGAACCCTGGCTACTATAGTAGTGATAGTGATACAGTAATGATATTTTTAATATTCAACAGAAGGATTGGAAAAGTTAAAGATATTCACAGCATATATAAAAACAACAAAAAATACAGAAAAGATGGGATAAAGACAAGAAAATAAGAGCATAAATCCATAAAGTTCAATGTCTCAGTAATAACAGTTCCAGAGACAGAACAAACATGAGAAAATACCAAACATATAATTCAAGAAAACTTCTCAGAACTGAAATGTATGAATTTCCATACTGAAAAGGTCTCAAGACAATGAATGAAAAAAGATACACAGCAAAGTATATCTACATGAAATATCACAAATCAGAACAGCATTAGATATCTAAACAGTAACACAGAAAGCTAAAAGATAATGGAGAAGTATCTTAAAAATTCTAAGGGAAGTGTATCTCCAACACAGAATTTTTTTTTTTTTCTTTTTCTTTTTGAGACAGAGTCTCACTTTGTTGCCCAGGCTAGAGTGAGTGCCGTGGCGTCAGCCTGGCTCACAGCAACCTCAATCTCCGGGGCTCAGCGATCCTACTGCCTCAGCCTCCCAAGTAGCTGGGACTACAGGCATGCACCACCATGCCCGGCTAATTTTTTTTTTTTTGTATATATATTTTTAGTTGGTCAATTAATTTATTTCTATTTTTGGTAGAGACGGGGTCTCGCTCAGGCTGGTTTCGAACTCCTGACCTTGAGCAATCCGCCCGCCTCAGCCTCCCAAAGTGCTAGGATTACAGGCGTGAGCCACCACGCCCGGCTCCAACACAGAATTTTATACCTACCTAAACTATCAATCAAGTGTAAGGGTAACATAAAGACATTTTCAGAGACACAAGATTCCCCCAAACTTTATTTTGCATGCATCCTTTCTCAGAAAGCTACTGGAGGATACAATCTGACAAAAAAGAGTATATAAGGAAAAAGGAAGACATAGGCTTTAGGAAATATGGAATATAACTTCAGATAAGTAATACCCACGATAAAGAAAAAGAATTGAGAGAGCAACCAGGTCAGAATCAAGCAGGGGGACCAGTTAAGTGAAGAAGTACTTCAGAAAAGTTATCTTAAAGAAATTGAAACTGAGAGAACATCTGATATGTTTATTAACTGAGAGAAAACTGATCTTTTGCTGAAAAGTTTAGGGATGAATTAAAGCTAAATTCATAGAAAATGAAGTACAAAAGACAGGTAATCACCTGTAATCCTAGCACTCTGGGAGGCTGAGGCGGGCAGATTGCTCAAACTCAGGAGTTCGAAACCAGCCTGAGCAAAGAGCGAGACCTCGTCTCTACTAAAAATAGAAAGAAATTAATCGGACAACTAAAAATATATAGAAAAAATTAGCCGGGCATGGTGGCACATGCCTGTAGTCCCAGCTATTCGGAAGGCTGCGGCAGGAGGATTGGTTGGGCCCAGGAGTTTGAGGTTGCTGTAAGCTAAGCTGATGCCATGGCACTCTAGCCGGGGTAACAGAGCAAAACTGTCTCCAAAAAAAAAGACAGGTAATTATTAATTGCAGGAAAAAGAAAAAGTATGTAAAATGGAAAAATGTAATCATAATAGGATACTACATGATATATGTAAATAGAATTTCCATAGTCATAACAAATACTGAATATTGATTTAACCAAAAGTTACAATTTTATTGGAAGACTAGGAGGAAGAGATGTTTAGGCATATAAGAGGTCTAAAATCCTCTGTTTCCATAACAAAGATCATTAAATAATATCACTTTTCATTAAAAGTGAAAAAAATCAAGAAAAGTAGTTCAAACATGTTATTTTAGAATATGCAACAAAATTTTTTTAAAACAGTGATATATTTGAAAGTGGTCTCCTCTGAGGAGTAAGACTCAGAGGTAAAAAGGTTGTGGGGTGGAGTATTGCTATTTGTGTGTGTGTGTGTGTATGCGCATGTATCTGTGGGTTATAACTCTTATAGATCCACTTGACTTTTAAAGTCCTGTAGCTAAGAAAAATAAACATCACAAATTTTAAATCCAACAATTCTTTGGACTTTCTTCAATGGAAGAAGTAGATAGAATTTTACGCTATTTGGATCTTCCCTCTTCTTATCCATTATTTGTAATATCTTGTTTTCCTAAAAAAGTTTTTTAATTGTTTTATCTAATTATTACTTTGTGACCAGGAGCAGTGGCTTACACCTGTAATCCTAGCACTTAGGAGGCTAAGGCAGGAGGACTGCTTGAGGCCAGGAGTTCAAGACCAGCCTCAGCAAGAGTGAGACCTCGTCTCTATCCCCAAAACAAAAAAGTTAGCTGAGCATGGTAGTGCATGCCTATAGTCCTGGCTACTCAGGACACTAAGGCATGAGGATAGCTTGAGCCCAAGAATTGGAGGTTGTGGTAAGCTATGATGATGTCACAGGCAACAGAGTGAGACCCTGTCTTCAAAATAAAAAACAAACCAAGAAAAACATCTATATCCATATCTATATAGAGATATATAATTACTTTGTAATACTTTTGTAGTTTTTCTTTTACCAATTTATAATAGTCAACTTTTGTTCCTGTTAATGTTCTAAGTCACTTATTTTTTCAATGGATTTATTTATGCAGCCTTACTTCATGTTTTAATACCATCCAGAATTCTTACACTTATCCCCAGTTAAGCTATCTTTTTTCCTTCCCACAGTAACTAATACAAACTTTCTTTGCTCCCCTCAAGACTTTCACTTCTGCTTCTCTAAGAAGATAATCTTGATTCTTACTTGAAAGACAAAGAAGAAGGCACCAGGTAAAGAACATCAATTTCTAGTTCTATTTTTTAGTGTAGCTATGTTCTTCACCATTATTACTTTCTACCTCTTTTGTTCAAATATAGATACCCCTCGTAGAACTGTTTTAAGATCACCTTAGGATCTGATTTCTCACCTGGGAATCCTTCCTAATTCAGAAAGATCTTAACTATAAATTGCTTTCAAATATAATAAAATGAAAGTCAATATTAAATGTTAGATTATGTTTCATAGAAATGTAATTAAACATTTATTCATACTTCAGCATATTTTTTTTCAGTTCTCAAATACTTTCAAAGCTCCCATAACTGTTTGTAGGTTCGGCACCATGCCTATAATGCCCAGTGGATAAATATGGCCCCGAATCCCACCTCCAAAATAGTCTTGCAACTCTGTCTTTGAGCCCAGAATTTTCTCCCACCTTTTCTGAAAATGTGTTTCATCAGTTATTATGCATCCTTTTCTTTTCTTGGATCTTCCCTTACATACAATGGTTTCTTTTGCTTAAGCCTAAAAACATACTCAAGTCTCTCCTATCTAAAAAACTAAAATCAACAAACTCTCCCTCCCTTCTCTTGTTATCACCCCCTCTTCCTTTTCCAATTGGCTAAACTTCTTGAAATGAATCTAGCCTAGTCTCAATTGTTTTGCTCTGTCACCCAGGCTCCAGTGCAGTGGCATGATCATAGCTCACTGCAATCTCCAACTCTGGGGCTCAAGTGATTCTCTTGCCTCAGCCTCCTGAGTAGCTGGGACTACAGGCATGTGCCACAATGCCAGGCTAATTTTTAAAGTTTTGGTAGAGGTAGAAGAATGGGTAGGGGTCTCTCCACATTACTGTTAGGTCCAGAGCCAAGAGGAGACACGTGAAGCCTCATGTGTAGCAAAATGCTGTTTTATTTTGAGTATACGGGTGGAGGCCAAAGAGTGTCCACCAGGAGGGAGGGAAAAGCCTTGGGTTTTATAGAGGGTTTTTCGGGGGGGAGTGAGCAACACCTGCAGAGATAGAAGAGGGGGGTATGTTTCTCCTTATGAGGGGGAATAGGAACACCAGTGCTGCAGCTGTCTGTGGTCGAAGTTAGATTTATAACCTTGGACTTTCCAGACTACTGGAGCTTTTGTTTCACAGGCTTTATGATCACTATCTAAGTATTATGTCTTATACATACTTTTGGGGTTCCCACTCTAAGTAAACCTAATATTCGGCCCTTTTTATTATATATGCATAAGAAAAGGAAGGTCAAGTTATGGGAAAGGGAAAAAATTAAAATTAGAAAGATTGGGAAGCAGGTGTCATCTTTTTGACTGCTTCCTTGTTTTTTTCTGTTTCTGGAGACTTGGTTATTTCTCAAATGTAGTCAGGCCAATCGCAGGTGATGTGATTTTTGCCCCTGAAATATGGTTTTGGGTGGGAAACAAAGGCTTGGAGTTTACCTCCAGGCTGTCCATCCAGGAGCTTCTCAGGAACACCTTGAGGCTATAAAATAAATTCTGAAAGCTGTGAGCTGGGGAAATGTAAAGAGAAAAACTTACATTTCTTTTCTCAGCTCTTTTAGATGTTTATGAAAACAGAGTCCCAGCAGGTTACCTATTCGTTTGGGAGAGAGAGAGTAAAGAGTAGAGAGAGCTCAGAATTGATTTTCAGCTTTTACTACAAAATTGGGAGATTCAATGTTGCCCTAGCAATTACCTAGGCTGGTCTCAAACTTCTGGGCTCAAATGATCCTTCCACCTCAGACTCCCAAAGTGCTGGGATTAAAATCGTGAGCACTGTGCCCAGCCTCGTCTGTTCTTCAATGCAGGAAAATCTGGCATACTGCCACACTACTCCATGGAAACCTCACCTACTGCCACTAACAGCTTCTTTTGCAGCTCTTATCTTCTTTGACCTCTCTGAGGTGTTTGATACCATTGAACACACCCTCCATCTTGAAACTCTCTACCCTCCCTTCCGCGGTACGGCATTACCTTTTTCTTGTTCTCCTAAATCTCTTACCAATCACTCTCAGTCTAGAAAGATAAATATCTTTATTTATTGTAGAACTAGCTACA